AGGTATTTTTAAAAATATCTAACCCAATTCTGGAAAAGAAGAATGAGGTGGAGGAGGAAAAGGAACAGTAGAAGGAGGAGGAAAACCTCAAGAAAATGCTATGCAGGCTTAAATTAAAAAGGAATATACTAAATTCAAAAGATGTTGTTTCTTACCAGGCTTTTGATATTGCTTAGGACATAAGCTCTAAATTTAGTTTCATTTTCATCCCTCTCCCTCCATTGTGGTTTTTAATCCTGCTATGAGCTGAGTAGTTAATAATATTTAGGAATATTTGAAAGATTCATTAAAGAGAATATATGACTAAGAATAATTACACAGCTTTTAAAAATGGATACTCTTGGCTAGAGATTTTACTATAAACCTTGAATAAATCACAAAGAAAACTGGTGTCTGGGACTTACATGCTGGGTGCCTTTTTCCATCCACTGCCTCATGATCTGCCATCTTACGGTAACCACACTACCTCGCTCACTGCACAGGTCACCAGAATTTTAAGTAAACTACAGTTGTGGCTTTGAAACACACCAGAATGTCATTGCAGAGCAGGTTTCCATCAGTCTTTTCATTTGCCTTGCATTAAAAAGTCATATGTCTAGTATTCTTCAAGTTCAAGAGCTTTAGCCACAGTGCTGTGGTGCTTACTATGTGCCTTACCCCCAGAATCGGTCCTGAGAAAGCCTTCAGGGCACTGAGCTTTTGCCATCTAGGCAGGGAGTGTTAGAATGGGGAAAGGGTGGGGTGCAGAGACAAACCCAGTTATTCGTTGTTGGGTGGAATGAGTAGAGAGGGGGGTGATTAGGGGAGTCTGTCATTTGAACCATTTCCTTCCTACTGAAAGGGAAGCTTTGCGAGCATCTTGGGAAAGTAGACCAAAGAGTGAAACACAATTTAGAAAACACAGCCCTCCCAGAACTCTGCTGCCTTGCTGAATGGATCTCTGGATATGCAGTCATGTGGCCTCTCTCCAATCCTCTCTCTCCACTTTCCTTCCAGCCTCCCCAAAATCCTGTGCTAAGAATTTCCACCCCAGATTATGCAAACCACCTTCACTATTTCCTCTATATCTCTGAATTATTGACAGCATTGTGGCATTAGAGACCTAAGTCCCAAGTAGTGCCTTACTAATACGGGAGTGTTCGCTTCTGTGAGAAATGCTGAGTTGGGTAGGGACAATGTGATCTTGGTTTAAGTGCACTGTTAGGTATGCACCATTTTAAGCGTGTGAAATACAGCCCACACACACTTCAAAGAAGTCACTGGTAGAATAATGACGATTGTGAAAACTCAGGTTCCATAGCCGTTTTTCTCAGTAGCTTCCATGTTCTGTGCCCAGTGTTTGGGCCTAAGGATCCAAAACTGACTAAAGCATGGACCCACTCTGAAGGAGCTAAGAGTTACGTAGTGACACCCATGTGAGCAGGAGAATCACAGCATCCCTCAACATGAGGGAGATGTACACAGTGTTGACCCATCTAAAAGGGAAGAGCCTGGGCTGACTGATCAGGTGTCTACCTAATGCTTACCTCCCTCTTTGAATATTTGTCCTACATGGCAAACAACTAGAACACACATGCATGTGCATGTGTGTGTGTCCTTTTCATCAGCATCTGAGAATATTTGAACTTTGGACATTTTTTTTTTTTGTCCTAAGGTGATGTCTAACCATGTTGCCCAGACTAGTCTTGAATGTATGGGCTCAAGTGATCCTCTTGTCTCGGCTTCCTGGGGGACTGGCTCATGCCACCATACCTGGCTAGTACTTGAACTTTGGAATATATTTTAAAAATATGTACAGGACTCAAAAGTATTTTTCCTGCATTTGAATTATTTTAAAAATAGAGACTGAAAATATTGATAATCACTAAAGACATCATTAGCTGACTGTAGCGAGCACATAAAGCCTTAGAGAAATAGATATATGTTTTGTTATTTACAGAGTATAAAAGTAGGAAATTCTAAAAGCCCATCAAAATCAAAGAGGTGACTGCCTGCCATGCTCCCCTACCTCTTTTTCAATCGTGTGGCAATAAACCAACTGTTTCTGTAACCAACAGCAAGTCAGGGTGGGTTGGCTACTTGGGGACAGTAAACTTCTGCAGCAGCACAGGCCGTGTTTCCTAGGAGGATCCAAGGCCGAGACACTTCCCTCTGGCTCTCTCCCTGGCTGGGCTTTCCAGCCTTCTCTAAGCAGGAAGAGCAAGTAGCATGTGTTGTGTATGAACATCCCAACCTAACCGACAAATTGTTGTTGGTGGCTGTTTCCTGTCAGAAAACACACTGGATCAAGATCACACTTGGTGAATGGCTATGATTCTTGTTTGGGAAGCAGGAAGTTAGGTCTCAGTGGACTATTTGTCTGCCACAGCTGAAGAGGGATCTAAAGGAGTGGTTGGAGTTGTATAGTCAGAAGTCAGGAAATCCTGAATTTTAATTTGGTTAAAGACATTGGCTTTCTATCTTATGAAAAAGTCTCTGTTTCTGGTGTGATAAGAGGACAGGCGTTGTTCTTGTTTTTATTTTAGTGGTACTGGGGATAGAACCCAGGACCTTGGACTAAGCTACATCCCCAGCCCTTTTTTATTTTGAGACAGGGTCTCACTAAGTTATCAAGTTGGGGTCCTCCACCCTTATCATCCCAAAGTGCTAGGATCACAAACATGTGTTACCATGACTAGCTACGAAGGCTTTTGCACTAACTTTAGGGTTTCTATAGATTTTTGCAACTGAAATGTGATATAAATATCAGCAGGGCCATTTTTCTCCTTAGTTGCCAATGAATGTCCAGAAATACACTGTGTAATATAGAGACATTCAGCTCTCTGCCTTTGGTCCTGTGGTTGAAAGAACCTTCTCAGCTATTCAGTGATCCAAACTTCTACATTCTTTTACTCTTTTCTTTGTTGTTCATTCTATATAGTTCACAGTGCAGAATTTATTGCTTTAAATGTTTTATGAATGTTCGAATAGAGATCTGTTAAAGACCTATAGTACGTATGCAATCAAATAAGTTGCTTTCCAGATTCAAGTATTTTGAAGAAATTAAAAGGTCAAGGTCTGATTTCTCCAAGTGGTAGCATGTTTTGGTAACTATCTTGTCCGTTTATTTTGAGTAGTATAAGCTGCTTTAATATTATGGTCAATAGAGCAAAGCTCCAAACAAAGCAGTAATGAGTCTTAAGATGTCTGTCATTTTGACAATCCACAGCATGACCTCTCCCTGCCAAGCAGACTGTGAGAAGAGGAAGGTGAGGATGTGTTCTGGGAGAGTCCCTCTGCTCTCACCTCTTTCTCCTGTCTCCTGGCTGGCCAGGTCTTTGAGCTGCTCCTGTCTTCTCAAGGTATGGTGACGAGTGTGGGGCTCTTTGCTGCTAACATAGGCAAGAGACAGAAGCTGTCCCAAGCCAGAGGGAAGCACACACTCTCTGAGACCCAAACCTGAAGCACCAAGAATTTATGACACAGCAGGGACCAGTTGCCATGCTGTAACTAGAATAAATGGTGCATCCAGACCATTTAGACCAAATGAATGTGGAACGCAAGTGACTTCATTTACATATTCTCTCTCCCTCTGCTGAAAGCTCAGTAGCTGCAGTTGTCCCCTTTTACTTTCTTGTTTGCTTTCTGCTCTTTCATTTTCAAAGTTACTGTTTTATTCAGCACATACTTAACAATAGATATCGTGCAACATACCTCACCTAGTTAATCCTTAAAACAACTTAGTGAGAGTAGGGGTTCTGGCCATTTTATAGATTAGATAACTGAGTCCTAGACAAGGAAATGGCTCCAGGTTCTCAGCTGGCAGGTGGGTGAGGACTTACCTGACCTGATACACACTCTGAGATCACTGGGTTAAAACAACTCAAAATCAGCTTGTCACTTAACTTTTTTCCCCCACAGAAGATATTTTTATAGAAAGCAAGTCAATTTTCCCTTTAAATAAATTAACTTTAAAATGTCAACCCCAAGTTTGGCCTTTCAAGGCAAATAGCTTCATATTTGTTTCTAATGATGGCTGGGGTGAAAAATTATATTTACCAGGTGGAGATTTCACCCCAGCCTTGGGAGCCCAGTTATAAATTTAACCATTCATTTAAGGCTTCCATTTATTTCTGGAGGGCAAAATGTGGCTTAGAAAAATTCCCTCAAAACAAACTAAAAAACGAATCCCACCTAAAATGGCAACATGAAATACTCTGCAGCATTTTAATGAGCTCATTGTAAGTGAATTAGAAACCTTCACATTGCAATTTACTTGAAAATAGATCTGGTATTAAAATAAGGGACAGAGGTCAGTTTAGACTCTTCTGATCTCAATCACAGGAAGGTTAGCCCCCTATAAAATGTGCCATGACAGCTCAAATAAACATCACCTTAAAAAACAACAACAAACAAACAAATGTATCAAGGTTCTCTGTGAAACACTGAACACTTACATAAAAAGAAAAAAAATTTTTCAGTACCGGGGATTGAACCCAGGACCTTGTACTTTGAGTCAGGAAGCAATACCACTGAGCTAATTCCCTGGCCCCAAAAGACAAATTTTAAAAAGCAATATTATGGGAAAACTATTTCTGAAACTGAAAAATAATCTACCATTGAAAACTATTTGAAACAATTTATTATCTGTATCTAACCCACAAAACTGTAAGTATAGCATACATCAAAATGTACAGCTTGTAAAAGCTGTTTTCTCGTACCTCCACAGGAGTTCTGTGTTTTGGGTTGTTTTGTTTTGAGTACTGGGGATTGAACTAAGGCGCTTCTTTCCCACCACAAGCCTGGCCCCTTGCCTTCTTTTTTACTTTGGAGACAGTGTTTCACTAAGTCAATAAATTGCTAGGATTGCAGTCCTGGCTCAACCTCCCAGAGCGCTGGGATTCCAGATGTGTGCCCCCCTGGAAATTCTGATGGTGATACAATGTACTAAGGGCAAAGTATCACACTATTAGTCCTTCAGGGCAAGGCAACTCTTGGGCTATGTCATTCCCACTTCATACCTGAAAGGACTGAGGTGCAGAGAGGTTAAATCAGCAATGGCGAACCATTCAGAGCTTTCAGTGATATAATAGCCTGCTTCAGCATGCGTGCCACAGGTCTGTCATCACTGGGTTAAGTGTTCACAGGGCTCACAAAGAGCCGAGGCAGATGTGACGCAAAGAAGCTGCAGTCCCACAGACTGTGTGCTGACCATCCTGATGTACAGACTCTCGCTGGTAGGCTCTAGGCATATGTAGAACTGTATGATGTAACTACAGAAGGAGAAAAGGAGATGTTTCACAGAAACTCAGTGTTTCCATGTTGCATAAAAGCAGCAAATACAGTGTTTTCTGCTGCTGGTGGTGATGATGAAATCCATTTAATAGTGAATTTGATAACAAAATGATTAAAGTTGGTCCCAAGAAATGGAAAATATATCATGTATAACACAGATTCATCAGACTTTTGCATGGATGATTAATACTTTTAAATTATTTGAAAACTGCTATCAAAGAAGAAATAAAAACCAAATATATAATGTTTTTGGAAAAGTGTATAGTAAAACATAAGAATTCCAAAGGTCTTATTGACCAAATACATCTGCTTATAGCTTTACCTGCCATTTAATTTAAAATTTTCAGTTTATAAAAGTTTGTGATATTATAATGATGTTCTTAGATTTTTTTTTTTCTTTTCTTTTCTTTTTGGTACCAGGGATCGAACTCAGGACCTTGTGCTTGCAAGGCAGGTGGCGCAGAACCACTGAGCTCAATCCCCAGCCATCTTTTCATGTCTTCTAATCAGACTTTTTTGTTAATAAGAAAAATTTTCCAGGTAACTGGATTTAAAGAACCCTTTCTTGCAATGTGCACATCTTGTTTTCTATAGGCACTTGTACACACACACACACACACACACACACACACACACGCCCTACACATATACTGTTATGGTTTAGATCAAGAATCATCTTCCAAACTCTCAAGGACTAGGGTGGGGCTTTTGGAAGATGACTGGCTCATGAGGGAGCTACAGCTGAATGTGCTGTTAGGATGGCCTGGTTGGAAGAGGCATCCCTGGGAACGTGACCTGGAAGAGTGCACCCCATTCCCCCTTCTCTATTTCCTGGTCACCATGATGTGAACAGCTTTTCTCTGCCAGACTCTTCTATAATGTTGTTTCTGCCTTGGAGCCTGATGACCATAGACAGTAACCATGAGACAAAATATACCTCCCCTCCTTTAAGTTGTGGGTATTGGGTAATGTGTTTCAGTAGCGACAGTGACTAAGACACATCTCCATCACCTATATGATTAGCACACCTTTATTACTAATCTCTCTGGTTTCAGACAAGTACCTTCCTTCCTGTCTCAGATTTCTTTTTTTTTCCCCCATTAAAATTATGCACTTCTCTTCCAAGATTTTCACTGAATAAATTTTTAGGGCTTTCAATTCTTTCATTCCTTTGGTCCCAGAGACTGACATGCCCTCAGTGGACCCTGAATGATCTCTAAAACTCCCTTTTAAATAATCTGCTTGAGAGGCAGGTGCCAGAACCACTGATTTAAATCCTGGGGCTTTAAATAACATATTTTTGTAAAGTACCCAACTCTGTTTTGGAAATGACAACTGAGTCACAAAACCTGATTGATTACAGTAGTCAAGAAGAGATGACAATCTTCAAAGATTATGTTAGGAGTCTGAGAAGCTGACCCAACTTCAAGTATGTCTGACATCCTAGGCAGGAGATGGGTGAAAGGCTGGTATGCAACTGATAACTTTTTCATCTGTGATGGGCCGTAGGCATACTCCAGAATTAGTCCCGCACCATGATTTTTTTGATCCCATCCTCCTCCCTCACAAGCAATGCTCAGTTCAGTAGTGCTATATGTTTGTTATTTAAATTTAATGTTATTTAGAATTTTAATTTGAGCAGAATCAATGTCTGAGGTCAAAGAGGTAACACTGACCTTGATACATCATTTACAAATACATCTTAGGAATGAGGCAATGAGTGCTTCACAGGATCACTCTTAGAAGAAAGGGGTAATATTCAGCATAGTTAACCACTGGGATGACAAGTGCATACCCACTCAGACAGACCCCGTGCTGCCCCAAGGGAAATTGATGAGTTCTGGGAAGGGGGACAGGGTGAGGAATGCTGCACTTGAGAGAACTGAGGGCAAGAGACTTTATCAGTTAGGTCAGAAGTACTTCTGCCACCACTGCACTGCGTCACTGGCTTCTGGTTGAATACTACCCTGCAGTAAGATTCATGACGTTCAACCACAACAGCTCAGACCCTGTCTCTCTGGAGCAGAACATGTTTAACATGAAGAAGAAAGGCTGACTTGCATGAAAAATCATATCACAGATATTTCCTAGTGTACTAAATGGCGTTACCAATATTTTCTCAACCTTATCAAGATGCATTTGTTAAGGCAGTGTGATTTCCAAGATCATCTACTGTACTTAAATTCACTGCACCTCACTTTGGACTATACTTGAGTTACTGATTGGCAAAGAAGTGGCACACACCCCTAATACACTGATTACCTTGCTTGGGCAGTTGCATGACCTGGGTTGACCCTTGCTGATGTTCACACAGCTTTCTGAGCAGTGCAGGATGTTCTCTTGCCACAATTGCTCTTTGCTGTGAAGAAATGCATCACCTCACACAAGCATATGCAGTTCCAACTCTTCCCTGGGACTGCACTGTTCCTATTTCCAAGGCAAGTGCTATGGTTTATATTTAAATGTCACACCAAAACCTCATGCACTCGTAGGTGGATCTTTTGGAAGGTGATTGGGTTATGAGGGATTATAGCTGACTTGCTGTCAGGAAGTAGAGTCTAGTTAGAAGAGGCAGATTACTGAGGGTGTGACCTGGGAGGGTACATTTCCCTTCCTAGCTCCTCCTTTTATACTCTGCTTCTAGATTACCATTAGATGAGTAGCTTTTCCTCTGCTATGCCTTTCTGCAATGGTGTCCTGCCTTGGAACTAGCTAACTATAAAATGAAATGTGACACAAAATAAACCTCTCCTCTTTTAAATTGCAGGTGTTGGGTATTTTGTCTCAGTGATAATGAAAGTAATTCAGACGGATTTTTGTACTGAGAGTTAAGTCATTTCTGTGACTGTTACATGACCATGTGGTTCGGAGGCCTTTGGAACTTATTTGTCGGAGGGGTTTGAAAAGAACTGGAGATACTGGTTAAAGGAGCCCTAGAATGCCATAAGCCAAGCCTGATGGGAGTCAGAGCTCAGATGATCACAATGCTGACAGAAAGGCAAACTGTAAAGACCTGGCTCAGGAGTCTTTTGACAGTTAGACTCCAGACCATATGTGCTATGACCTGGCAGAACATTTGCTTACATTTTGCTCATGTCTTGAGAATTTGTAGGAGACTGAGATTAAGGGTTGCAGACTTATTAATCTGGTGTTGGCAATGTCAAGGAAGCCCAAAGTTGATGTTGTGGTATGGATTGTTGGGAGCATTTAGCAAGCTCTACATTGAGAATCAAGAGCAAACAGTACAGCTGATTAATTTTCACTTTTGAGTTACATCAAAAAGGAAGCTCTTAGAGAGTTGAGGTCTATAAAGTTGGAGCAAAGGAGAACTTAGTTGCTGAAAAATGAAGCAATACAAAGTAGCCAAGTATTTTACATTCGGATAGTACAGAGGCTGCTTGGAGGATATGTGGAGGAATCCGAAAGACCTCATACTTTTTGCAGGCTCAAGTGTGCAAAAGTAAAATGCTTTGAGAAGAAAGCTTCAGTACACACTGCTTGAGAAATACCACCCAGGGAAATGGTTCTTCCAAATTTAATTCATAGTGCTCAGCCATCTAGGTACTCAGATGCTTCTGTAGCTGTGATCCAAGGGGACCTGGCCACTGCTTGAGCTGGCAGTATAACTTGGTGTCACCTAGGTGGTGCTGGTTTCATAGGAAATGCAGAATGCAAGAGTTATAAGGTCACGGAGGCTTCCATACAAATTTCAGAAGGAAGCCTGGGAGGCCAGTCAGTGTGCCTCTAAGAGGGTAGTTCATGAAGCTGTGAGAATGAAGACAAGAGGCCCCAGGAAGCTGGAGAAGCCAGAAATGTGGAATGTCTGAGGTAAGCTACAAGCTGCAAGCAAAGCCAGCCCAAAGGAGGAGCCATGTGGGCTATAACCACCAGCAATACTGTAGGAGAAGCACCCAAGCCCTTGGGAATTCACATCATGCCACGACTTGCCCTGGGTGCTGAACATGGGGCTACAGGATTTAATGTTTTCCCAGCCAATGTTTGGACTTGCTTTGGTCCCTTCGGTTTCTATTGCCATATTCCTTCTTTTTGGAATGGAAATATTCATTTACCCCATGTCAATATATGTTGACAATGTTGAACTTTCTTTTGATTTTTACCAGGGCTTACAGGAAAGAGTTTGCTTTGAGTCTCAAAGGAGACTTTGGACTTGGATCCTTTAGCAATGCTGAAACTATTAATTAAGACTTTATGATCCTTAGAGAAGAACTAAATACATCTTATGAATTTTGGGGCAGTGGAGCAGAAAGTTATAGTTTATATTAGATGTCTCCCAACAGCCTTATGTGCCCATGGGTGGGACTTCTGGAAGGTGACTGGATTATGGAGGTGTTATGGCTGCTTGCTATCAGGAGGTGGGTTCTGGTCAGAAGAGGTGAGTCAAAAGAGGTGTAACCTGGGAGGATATATCTCTCTTCCTGGTCTTCCTTTCATGCTCTGCTTGCTGCCACCATTAGGTGAGCAGCTTTTCCTCTGCCATGACCCTCTGCTATGCTGTTCTGCCTTGGAGCCAAGGGACTTGGACTGAAACATGAGCCAAGTAATCTTCTCCTCCTTTAAATTGTGGGTGTGGGGTATCTGGTCCCAGTGAAAATGTAAGTAAGATGGCAAAGATACCAGATTCCCAGGAGGGTACCCCAATGCATTCTAGGAACCTTCAGGCTAGCATTTCTTAAACTTTTCATGCCATGAGGGCCCTCTGACAGGCTGCTAAAAACCATGAACCCCTTCTCAGAATACACTTTTTAGATGCACAAAATAAATCAATTTAAAAAGAAAACCAATTACAGTGGTACCTTGGTTCACAAACTCAGTTCTCTCCTTGATTCTGGTTGCAAACTAAACTGGATGAGAAATGAATCAAATTTCCCCATAAGATCAGCATTAAACCTAACCATTGAATTTGATTCAGTTTTCA